GATCTCACAGTCCGTGGGTTCAAACCCTGCATCAGGCTCTGTGCTGACCTCTTGCTCAGAGCCTGGAGCCTGCTTCAGATTCTATGTCTCCTTCTCTCTCTGCCCCTCCCCTGCTCACGCTTTGTCTCACTCTGTTTCTCAAAAGTAAATAAATGTAAAAAAAAAAAAAAAATTAAAAAAAAAAAGAGTGAAATCTTGCCATTTGCAATGACATGGGTAGAGCTAGAATGTACTATGCTAAGCGAAATGAGTCCATCAGAGAAAGACAAATACCATATGATTTCACTCATATGTGAATTAATAAATAAAACATGAACATATGGGAAGGAGGGAAGAGAAGAGAGGGAAACAGACCACAGAGACTCCTAACAGTAGAGAACAAACTGAGGGTTGCTGGAGGGGAGGTGGGGCAGATGGGCATTAAGGAGGGCATTTGTTGGGATGAGCACTGAGTATTGCATGTGAGTGATGAATGACTGAATTCTACTCCTGAAACCGTTATTACACTTCAGTTACCTAACTAGGATTTATATAATAATAAGGTAAGAAACCCCGGCCCTGCAACCACAGGCACTCAGGGCATCTTTCAGGGCAGAGACAGGGCATTCAGGCCACTCTGTGGCACCCTGAGCTCATTCTTTCCTTTCTGCACTTTGTCCAGTGGAGCTGGGAGCAGCCAGCAAATCTCAGTTTGACAAAAATGCTATTAGCATCAAATATGTGGTCACTCGGATCCTTGCCTCTTAAAGTATTTGACTAGGAGTGTCCTGCAGAGATATTTTGTGTATCTCTAATGCTACATGCCATGCATTAGTGTGTGGAAATGAGAGTTATCAGATTTAAATCTAATCAGATTATTAATCCCCCAAACTGTAGAACACATTCAGAAATGACCCTTCAGTCTTAGTACCAGATTCCCTATCTGTCAGGTTCTCCAGAGAGACAGAACCTGTAGGACGGACGGACACACACACACACACACACACACACACACACACACAAATATAGAGAGAAGCAGAGAAGGAGACAGAGAAGAAGGGTGGGCAGAGGCGGGCACAGGCCAGGACAAAGAGGCACCACCATCCCTGAGGACCCCTGGAGGCACCACAGCTATTTCCACCTGGGACCGTGGTGGGACAGAGACCAAGCACCGTGACAGGGCACCTCCAGCAGAATCAAGGACTCCACAGTGTACCCGGCCTGGCCCACCCGCGGGAAAGACCTCTGAGGGGACAATGAATCACAAAGCACAAAAATAAGAACGCAAGCAGTCAGGCCCACAGGGGTGCTCACACCAATGTCTGAAGGTGCCAACTCTTGATGGTGTGTTGGGGGCCAGCAGTCCGCCAGCCTCGGCGATGCGCTGCTGGAGAGACAGTGGGACACAGGGAGATGTGAAGGATGGGTGCAGGGGCAGTCCTTCTGGGGACTCAGGATGCCTGGTGCCCCATGGAAGCAGCACAGTGGTTGGGAGTGGAAGGGTCTGTTTCTGTGACAGTCCTTCTCTGGTTCATCCACTGAGTCTTCAGGAAGAGGAACACAAAATGTAAAACAGAGCAATAGCTCAGATATTTTGAGTTAGTCCATCGTTACCCTCATTTCCTAGCAGGAATCAAAAGCAAATAACAGGAGCTCATGGGTTGACACAGAAGAGAAGAAAGCACACTTTAGATAGCTCTTCCCAATTTCCTGTTGAAATATCGACCCAGACACAGAAAAAGGCAGAAACTGGCAACAAAATGGCAAATCAAAGGAGAAGACCACACAGATGGAGAAGTAAGCACTTGCACTATGTCTGTTTTACCCTATGACTGTAAATGGGACAATGTCCAAAGATGGCAGGAAAACCTGAACTTTGCACAGACAGCACCTGCTCCAGGATGGAGCAAGCAGCTGTGAGCAGAAAACTCAGGCATCCTCATGAGGGCTGGAGCAAACGGACTATGTACCGGCCCCCTGCCACAGCTCCTTGCATCCCTTTCTCTGCACTGGCCCCTGCATCTCTTCCTCCTTCCTCCGCACCAGATACTTACAGAATTGTAAGTAATTGTAGGTTGGTGCACTAAAAAAGGATGCTCAAGGATATGTCTGTTTGAAAAATTGTCAGAGGATGATCAGATTCTGACAATTACAAGGTGTGTGTGGTTTTATCCCCACACCAAGCCATTCACTCAGCTCTGGTCCCGTCCACATGGACTCCACTCTGGCCCTGTCCACATGGAGTCAGCATCAGACCTCACAGGCTCAGCCCCACAAGACCACCGCCACTTCAGGCACCAACCCCAAGTCCAGACATCACCTGTGCTCTGACCCACAGGTGACAGATCACAAGTTCCCATGGCCCCTCCTCAGGTCTGATGAATGTGCTGGAGGGGCTCAGAGAACTCAGGGAAATGTTTCACTTGCTAGGTTAGTGGTTTATTACAAAAGGATATGACTCAGGGATAGCCTGATGGAAGAGATGCCCAGGGTGAGGCACTGGGGAAGGGGCGGGAAGCTTCCATGCCTCTCTAGGCACGTCACTCTACCCACGTCTCCACGTGCTCCCCAGCCTGGAAGCCCCCCCCCCCCCAACCCCAAGACCGTCCCTCTGAGTTTTCACTGGGGCTTCATTGTATAGACATGATCGATTAATCCATTGCCCATTGGTAATTGATTCTGTCTCCCCTCCCCAGAGGTCAGGGGCAGGACTGAAGCCTCCAACTCTCTGGTCCCACGGTGGGGTCCACAGGCCACCAGCCGCCATCCCTAGGGGCTTTCCAAAGTCACCGCAACAACATGAACTCGGACTTGTTATGAACACCGTGACACCTTCATTGCCGTCTTCAGTTGGGAAACCCAAGGGCTTTAGGAGCTCTGAGCCAGGAACAGTTACAAAGGCTGAGTCCATATTTATTATAAATCACACTATCAGAGATGACAAATCGAATACACATATTTTCCCCAAGGACAACGAGAAGACACAGCAGCAACAACATTTTGGAACCTAGAAACCAGACAGACTTTGTGAATCCAGGAAAGTAAGGGAAAAGGCAGTGGTGGCAAAGCTGGGACACGACCCAGTCTGTGGTGAAGAACCTACACGTGGAGACAGAGGGTACCAGGGACCTCGACAACAGGCGTGTTTGTGAAGCTGGGCCTTACCTCACCCCACAAGCAGAAGGTCCAAGCCGTGTGTCAGGAGGGAGCTGGCGACAGGGAGCCTGGCCAGCTCGCATGTGGTTCAGCTGAAGGGCGGGAGGTGAGCTGGGAGCAGGGGAGGGAGCAAACTCCTCTCCTGAGCTGGGACACACACCCAAGTCCTTTCCGCACATGGCTCTCCAGAAAACCCCAAGACACAGAGGTCAGCGTGCCCATGAAGCAACAGGCTGCTATTCAGAAGGAACGTTTGGAGATTAATAAATAACTAGGAGAAATTAAAAACATCACAGAGATGGAAGGGTAGGAGGAAGACACACTTCAAGAAACAGAAAGTAAAACAAAAAGATAAGACACAGAATGAGATCAGAGGCCAGACAACCAGACAACAGGAATCTGAAAGGAACACACTTTAGAACTGAGGGGGAACCAGACCTCATGGACCAACCAGAGAGCTCCCTGGGGACTCCCCACAAAAGCACTGATGGATGTGCGTCAAGGACTGTGGCCAGGAGCGCCAGGCAGTTGCTTTGCCCTTCCCAGGGGCCCAGTGTGCCCTCCCCCCGCCCTGCTCGGGTGCTCTCTGTACTTTGTCCTCCACTACTGATAAACGGTATTCTGCTGTACACATCTACTTGCAACTTGTTTTTTTTTTTTTTTTTTCCAGTTTACTTATTTTGAGAAATAGAGACAGAGCATGAGCTGGGGATGGGCAGAGAGAGAGGGAGGGAGAGAATCCTAAGCAGGCTCCGTGCTGTCAGCACAGAGCCCGACATGGGGCTAGAACTCACAAACCACGAGATCATGACCTGAGCCAAAACCAAGAGCTGGTCGCTTAACACACTGAGCCCCCTAGGTGCCCCCACAAGCACTCCTCTGAAGGTAAGATTTGGGGCTCTGTTCCCTGCAGCTCAAGCACACGCCTCCCACACCATGCAGGCAGTCAGGAGTATCCCAGGACAGCAACAGGTGGTGCCTGCAGAGTGGGGTCACTCAAGTCAAGGGTCCCCACCAGCAGCAGCCACGCAGGCCTGGACTCAGGGCCCAGCACTAGGCCATCTGGTCATGAGTTCCCCGACAGCCATCAGGGACACAAGGAGAGGCTGTTCCAAGGAGAAGCTGTTCCCAGCAGACGCTAAAATCTCCTTCGTCCTGCAGTCATCTTAGAGTCAGCACAGTGTAGAGCATCGTCTCTGAGACCTTCTGGAGCCAGTGTGTTCACAGCAGCACCTGGCAGCACTCAGCTCTGTGCTCACGGACGTGTGAGGGGCACCCAGAGGCCCCAGGACACAGTATGACCTGTAGGCGACTGCAGAAGCAGGCGGGCGGCAGGACTGTGCGGGAAAGAGAGGAGCAAAACCCCAAACAAGGCTACCCTCTCACTAAGCATGTCTGCTTTACAAAAACTATTTTTCATTCACAGAGCTGTTTGTTACCAGGTCGTGGGTTTATTACTGCACTTTTTGAACAAACAAGTGATTTTTTGAATCTTAGTTCATAAAAAACAGATTAATATTGGCACATATGACCCACGTGGGGTCCTTGATGTGAAACAGAGGGGGGTCCTGCGATGGAAGGCTTGGGAGCAGCTGGAGCGCCTCAGTGCGGCCCCAGGCTTGCTGCTACGTGGCTGTGCACAACAGATGTGCCGGTGGACCGCATGTGACCTCCACGAGTCACCCGGCCGCATGGCCTGTTCCCTCACAGGCGCCTGAATGAGGTGGTCTTCCTGAGACACTGGAAACACAGAGCCCTCCCCCCACAAATGTGCCACTGTAGCCCACCTGGCGGGGTGACCCATATGTACGACACAGGGAATGGCGGGGAAGACACACAGGGCAGGGCTACGTGGCTCTGTCTACCTGTCAGCCACGTCCAGGTCGGATTCCATCTTGTCCAGGCCCCTGGTGATGCTGTCCAGCTGCTCGCCCTGATGGTGGAGGACTCTGGCCGTGTCCTCCAGGCGCTTCTGGGAACAGGCCATGAGGCCAGTCAGCTCCTTCCCCTTGGTCGCAGGAAGCGGTGCTTCCGGCTGGGAGAGCAGCAGCTCTCTCCAGAAATGCTCGATGACACTGAATGCGGCATTGCGACTGGGCTGCAGGGAGCTGAACCAGTGCTTGCGGTTGTCCTTCTCCAGGACGGTGATGGAGCTGAAGACGAAGTGAGAAGCCTCCTTCTTGATCGCAGTGATGCCAGACAGCGGGAAACTCACCAGCGTCTCCTGGGCCTCATCAGCCGCAAACTTCAGTGAGCAGGAGGTTAAGGAAAGCTTTCCAGGGACCCATCGCTTGTCCAGCTCTAAGTAGTAGGAGCACGGCCAGGTGTGCACGCAGACCTCTCTGCTCATCTGGCTCCCGGTGGGTCTGCTCCACGGCCTCGGCCACTCTGCCTGTGCAGGAGAGGGATAAATCGGTGGGTGGGGCAGGCTACAGCACATCATTACACCTGGACCAGAGACACCACCGGCAGGGGTGGAGAGGGGGCGGCCAGGCTCTGAGCACAGCCGTCTCCCTCCACCCGGAGTGAGCAAGATGCAGGCCCGCCCCACCAGAAGCAGGGTCCATGGCTGGACCTCACTGAAGGGCAGAAACCCCTGGAAACGGCCACCCCAGGATCCCTCATGCATACACTGTTTTGGCTGTGATGACCCCCACCTCCCCCACACATTCCTGACAAGTTCCTGTACTAACATTCTCCACTGGAAATGTGCAGAAACTGACTTAATACCATAAAAGAAAAAATCCCACAGAAAAACTTTTCCCTTCTTGTAAGGCCCGCTAACTTCACAAAGCTCCACGTAATCGACAGGCTATGCATACAAACGTACACGTACAGTTTCATACAGTTACAAGCAGCAGGGGCACACTGTTCACACCTACAGTTTGCATTTGCTAACGAAGGGCAGAAAGTCACAAACAGCAGATGTGAACAACCCCTGAAGGACACGCAGTCCGCCCCTCACTGAACAGATAAGGCACCGAAGCCGGGACAGGAAGAGGACCTTATGCAAGCTCAGGCCACAAGCACGTGATGCTGACTTGGCCAGAGTTGGGTTTGGGAATGCCTCGTCCAGCTCACTTCTGGGCAAGGGTCCCCCGTACCATGGGCTTCTACTGCTACCCTCTGTCTTCACCCCTAGCAGTCACAACATGGCCTTCCCTGTGAAATAGGGAGAACAAATAACTAATGTCATCTCTTAACAACACACAGGGAGTCCCTGCATCCCGGCCACGGGCCACAGGCCCTGAGGAAACAACACTGGCTTCGGCCTGGGCCCGTGGAGCTCAGTCCACTGGACCCCTGTGAACATCTTCACTGAGTTGTACCTTAAAGACCCGGACTAGAGCAGAACGGCTGGACAAGACAACAAAGCCACGTGTACTGCACGGAGCTGCCCACTTACAGAGAAACACAGTAAGCGGAGAGTTGGCAATGCTCCACCAAATACAAACTGAGCTAACGCAGACTAAACTCCACAGCTCACAGGTGAAGGTGTGGTGACATATGGGAAGGAAGTCTTATCGGAGGATGGCATGGCAGGACAGCCACCGGTTCCTGTGACGGCCAGCTCTTGGGGCAAGGACAGCATTGTACTCCTAACCCAACTTAGGGAACACTCTGGGGCTGAATGTGTCTGTCCAGCTCACCCTGCTGCTCACAGTTCTGTGGGTAGCAGCCTTCATTGAACACCGTCAGACACAGATGGCAGATGTGGTCCTGGCCTAGTTAACCAGTGTGTCGGATAGGGGATTCAGGAAAGTCCATCGAAGCTGAGATGGTACAGAAACCAGGGGCAGGCACTTCCAGGATGTAATTCTCTGCATCTCATGCCAGCTTTTGTCCCAGGCGCTTCTTCTCATAGTGGTGCAGGGTTGTCCCTCCTGATTGAGACACCATCTGCTGCCTCCTGGCCAGGATTACAGAACACTGTCCCCTTGGAGGCCTGCTCACAGCCCCCTGGGAGGCCCATCTCCTTGGCCACATGGTGAGTGCCAGACCAGGGGAGCCTCAGCACTACAGGTGCACCTGACAAACGCCAACCTCATAGTGCGAGGGACCCAGGTATCCACGGTCCCAACCTTCTGCACAGACAACTGAGTCATGCTCCCGAGGGGCATGACCTGTGAACGTTCCCAGCAGCCCTGCAGCCATGCTGGGATGGTGTGCAAGGTCACCATCTGCAGCAGACACAGCCGGACAGTGGGAACTGGAAAACAAGCATCTCTTCACCAGACTTCTGTCCCCACCAAGAGGGCACTCCCCTGACACTGACCCAAACACAAAACAGACTACAGAGCGCTGGTGGTGGCCTGGAGCTCTGGCAGGACAGGAAAGTCAGGTGCACACACCTGTGATGTCCTCTGCAGGTGACCTGCTAGTGCCCTTCCTCCACGAGGCCCCTGCTGTCATCCGGAACATGGATGGCAGGCAAGCCTCTACTCTCAGAACCAGGGATGACTAACATGATTTTGGGATTTTGAGACCAAGACTAAGGTTGGAGGCCAGGCACCTCAGCCCTGCCATGGAGCCTGTCACTGTACTGGTCAGCACCTGGGGCCAGCCTGACCCTAGTCCTCCAGCAGCCAGGAGCCCCCCCAAATCGGCCCCTAGTCTCCACAGTGTGCAACCCACAGGGAGTCCCTGTCCATACATAGACACCGTGTGAGCCCCGCTGGAAATCCCTGACCACAGCTGCCGGTCCAGGAGACACCCCACGAGCACCGCATGAGCCCCACTGTAAATCCCCGACCACAGCTGCTGGCCCAGGAGTCACTCCACAAGCACCGCGTGAGCCCACGCACGCCTTCTGTAAACAGTGACTGAGGCCGGTACTGCATCGTCAGGAGCTCGCTCTACCAGCTTCATGGCTCCTGCTGGGCCTGTTCATCTGCCAGTAAAATAACTGAAGACCCCAGGACAATTCCACCTCTCAGATATGCTAGAATTCACTCAGGGAAGAGCAAGGGAAGAGGAAAGAACAGTCCAGAGGAGGAGAAACCTCACTGCCTACTGGGAGCAGCACTCAGGGTGGATGATTCTGAGGATGATTCCAAGGACGCAGCAAAAGGAGAAACCCGCAGCCGGCACCCCTCCTTCCTCATGTTCCCATGGTTCTTCCCCGGCAGACAGAGTGGACAGGGAAGATGTGGAGGACCCAAGTGAGAACAGCACTCCCACACTGGTCCTCACTAGTCTGTGCGAAGCAGTGCCCTTGAGAGGCCAGGCCTCCCTCTCCTCCCCTTGATCCCAACCCTATGCAGCAACACCAGCCTCCTTGCCTTCTGACCAAAGGCCAGACAGTAAATACCCTGGACTCCGTGGGCACTGGTCACTGTCACAAGCACCCCGCTCTGCCGATGGAAGCAGCCAAGACACCACAGCAACAGAGGGGCATGGCTGTCCTTGTGGACAAAATAGGTGGCTGCCAAGCTTGGCCAGTGGGCCATAGTGGGCCCACCCTGACCACAGCACTGACCATAGCACTGCCCATAGCTCCGACCAGAGCACTGCCCACAGCTCTGAGGAGCTTGTGAATGATCCTACATGCTGACAGGCTCAGTCTACCCACCACAGAAGGCAAACATCACAAGGAGGGTGCCTTGGGCACAATGCTGGCACACCTCGGCCTTTGGTAAATGCCTGCTGAGCGAACTACAAATCACCTCATGTGGCAACATTGACCGCATCCACCATGGATGACTTTCTTCCTTCCAGGTCCTGACCTGGGTCTCTGATCTGTGCTAAGCTCCTGGAGTCCTTATTGCGTCTGGAACCCACGGGGACCTGTGCTGACCTGGGAAAGCAGCAGAACTGGGGATGCTCGTGGGGAGAGATGAGTGGGCACGTGGGTGCAGCGTGCGACGCTCAGCACTTTATGAGATGCACTATTGTGCATGGATAACTCCCAGGGCTTACATCAGACCTGTGCCCTGGACTGACACTCAGTATCAAGTAAACACCCTATTTTTAGTTAGTTTCCAAAGTAACAGGACCAGCGACATTTTACACAAGTTCCAAGGACTCTTGGGCACAAGCAGGTCTGGAGTCAGAACAGTGGGAGCAGTGTCTCTGGGCGCCGGCAGCCGCCTTTTCCATTACCTTTACCTCCTGCTCCTTAGAGGCTCGTGCTTTCAACCCAGAGGTTCACATGTGCTGTTTGGGGGTGTCCCGCTGCAACAATGTGGTCTATTCACAGGGCGTGTACCATCCCTCTAACGCTGCAGACAGAGAATGAGGATTTGTCCTCATTCCCACGACATTTCCCACCAAGTGCTAACTTTTAAACTCCCCCTGCAGCCCTCCTCTCTGGCTGTGCACAGTACATCACTGGGCTGCGTTCAGGCTGGGAGCAGTGCCCTGCCCCAGGCCCAGGAATGTGCTCTTCCCACAGTTCCCCAGTGATGCCAGGCCTGCCATCTGGGGACCTTTGAGGGGCACAGCCCATGTTCTGGCCCCAGCCCTGCTCTCACGCCTGCTGCCACAGCCCCATTGGTGCAGCGGTGGCAACACTGACCACACCAGAGGGCCACCACATGGACTACAGGTAATAGCACAAAACTCCTACCCTGACTTACAGGCTCAGTTGTGCAATCAGACCTGGGGAGCGTGTGGACCTGCTAGGTCAAAGCCTCCTCTTTCTTAGGAACTTAGTTGCAACCTCAGAGCTTCAGCCGCAAACTTAAAGCCGTATTTCCTAAATCTTCAAACAATCACAAACACTCTGTTTCCCACACTATCCCCAACTGCCTCCCAAGGTCTGCAGCCACAAGTGAAATCCAGTAATTAAGGACCATGGAGCCAACAGATGGCAAGATTTTGACAGTACACAGTCAAATTTTTGCAAAAGGGTAATGACAGCATAAGCTTACACATGTAACTTTTCATACGTATGAAACAGACTGTGTGTGTGTGTGTGTGTGTGTGTGCGTGTGTGTGTGTGCGCACGCGCGCGTGTGCATACAAGGAGAGGAAGAAAGAATTAAAGAACAAATGCATACCTGCAAGGATAGCTCTATATCAAAAAGTTTTTTAAGCCTTATCTGGATAGGATCATAAGTGATTTTTTTTTCTTATTTTGAGAGAGAGAATGCACACAAGCAGGGCAGGGGGGCAGAGAGAGAGGGAGAGAATTCCAAGCAGGCTCCACACTGTCAGCACAGAGCCCAACACCAGGCTCAAGCCTACAAACCCTGAGATCATGATGTGAGCTGAAAGCAATACTCAGATGCTCAACCGACTGAGCTGCCCAGGCACCCCATGGGTGATTCTTTTCCCCCACATCAATGGCCCCAGGTGTCCTTGCTGATGGCCACATGCTGACCTCAGGGCACAATGAAGCCGAGTGGGAAGCCAGCACCACACACACAGAAGCACACGGCTCTTCACACTGCTCTACTCGCCACAAACACTGTCTACCACCTGCCCCACCTCCTCGGTGTTCTCAGCTCCCACCGTGGATCCCACTTCTACCCGGCACTCAGACTCACCCCAGCTCATTCTCCTCCTGCCCCCCCTCCTCTTCCTTTCCCCACTTCTGGTCCTCCCTGTTCTCCTTCTGGGTAAGCTTCATGCCACTTGGGAAGAATCCCCCTGAAGCCCTCCTCCAAAGCTCAGAGTCCCAACATCCCCAGAAGCTCCGTATCCCACCTGTAAAGGTAAGCAGGGTGGCATCTTCCTCATTTAATAAAAGAGAGACACCTGTCCCTCCTCTTTACACAGAGAGTCTCCTTCCTGCAGGAATGAGACAAACCCAGCGTCCAGATTTTACAAGGCAGTCACCAGCTGCCAACTCAGAGCTGTAAACATACACCTGCAGAACAGAATCAGAAACTTCTCACCAGGTTCAAAAGACCAAGGAGGTGCATCTGCTTTTCCCTCAAGGAGATGAGAGCTCTAATTGTCCTTTCTTCTGCTTTTACCGTGTGTGACACGCGTTCTGCCCAACTCTATACTCTCTTGCAGACTCTCTATGTACATGTAATCTGCCAACTTCACATAGTAACAAACCTACAATCTTTCTTTCCATGTTGATGTGGGTAGGTTTGTGTTCACAGAACATTTCTTTCTCCAATATGCTAAGGCCCTGACTTGTCACTCCTTCCCACGTCCCCACTCAGAGGATCCTCCATCTCAGACCTACTGGTGTGTGCAGCCTCAAATCCTCACTCTTGATCCCCCACACTTCCATTTCAGGCACCTTATTCCCCCATCATGCCCTCCCGGCCCTCACCATCCCAATGGGTCCCAGGATTCCCTCCTGGCCCCCAGCATCCTGTCCAGGCCCCCATCACCCCCCGGGCCTCCGGTATCCCCTCCAGGTCATTACTCCCTGGGCTCCCAGCATCCCATCCAGGACTCCATCACCCCCTGGGCTCCCAGCATCCCCTCCAGGCCATTACCCCCTGGG